ATCGCACGGCATTAAATCACCGAACGACAGGTGAACAAGTGCTTATCTTGCATTACATCGGATTACAATTGCGAGTGTGCATCAGCTTATGTGAGTCAGTGTGCCATATTCGGTGCTTGGCCAATCGCTGCTCTTTAAAGAGAAGCCGGGCCCCAGCAGCACACAATGAAATGAAAATGTATGGCAGTCATTTGCCTGTGACAGTTGTGCGACGTTATCGACTGACAGCGAGTGACTCGATGGCTCGTTGGCTCGATGGCTCGTTGGCTCAGTGGCAACAAGTCGTATGAGCAATATGCGCATTATTTACAATCCACACATTGCTTTGGTAAACGCCGCTGTATATATTTGTACATGCCACACGTCAATAATAGAAGCAATAGAAGCGGACACAAAGCCCGCCGTTTGCCGCTGGGATAACATTGTGAACGAGTTGCTGGTGGCTTTGTGACGACAACACGCTCTCAACCACCCTCAACCACCCTCCACCCATCGACTCTCGCCCTCGCCCTGGCCCTGGCACTCCCTCACTCTATCGATTACCAATCAATTCAGTATCAGCTTTGGCAATTGTTGATTTTATTGAGTTGACGAAGTCCGTGAGCTTCTTTTGTTGACGCGCGAGCCGGACTGCACGGGTCGGGCGACTTGGCTGATTGAAAGACAAATGCCGGAATCTGCATTCGAATGCCCCAAATTGTGACGGACAATAATAGTACGATTATAATAATAACAATATTAATGGATTATGTCATACGTATTCTTATTTTTAGTCAGGCTAAAAGAAGCAAAATTCACTTCAATTTCATTTAATTTTAAAGTTCTTTCATAGCTGTGGAATGTTGAGCTTCATATATATTAGATGTATGATAAATAGGTGATAAGAGGATATTTATATAATATATGTATAAGCTCTTAACAGAGTTGCCCTTAAAAATTTGGTTGCCTTTGAAAATACATCGCTTTGGGAAATTCCGCCAAGCAAATCCTTCCCAAGTTTCCAAATAATTATTATAAATTATTTATTCCATTTAGCAAATGTTTAATTTGTGTTGATTGATAAATAATCATAGCCCAATCTAGTTAATGAATTTGGAATGAAATGCTGATGATTAAGCACTAGGCACAGTCTGTTGGGATAGTTAAGACTTGTATTGAAACAAAGCCGTAAACAGAAGTCTATAGCAACTAAACTATTTATAATTTTTATTAGGTTATTACTACAGTCGAGTTCCGATAATTCGAAATGCCAGGGGTATCAGGTTTTTTTTCGATTTACCTAGAAATTCAAACTACCGAGTATTATCGATAATTTATTTTTAAAGGTGATGGATTTTTTTTCGATTTAGCTGGCTATAAAATATGGAGACTTGACTGTATTACCATTTCGAATCCAAATACATGTTCTGCAGCCCTGTAAGCTACCTATAAATCGAAGACCTGATTTCTAGCTTCGATATGTCGATTCATTAGTTATTAACAAAAGCCTAAAAACACATGTAAATAAATGCGTTTTCGGGGTGTTTTATTTAGTGTTGACTTTCTGGATTTTAATTTGTTTTGAATATGACATGAAACTATAGTGAAAATCATATAAAGAAATTCGATTTTCATGATCGTATAAGATGAAATTGCTAGCTATCTAGAAGAGCAGCAACTCTTATCAAGTAAAGTCTAAAGTTGGAGATTTTTAAATATTTTATAATTTGTTTTAAGCCCATACAGACATAAATTTGTATGCTTCTGGCAGAGCTCTAGGCATAGGGCTGCAATTGGGCTCATTCCATGACTCACTCCATGACTCACATCATGACTCATTCCATGACTCATTTTATTAGATGTACTTTGATGAGGGCAATAGCATCTCGAAACTTGTTGTTGGACCTATTTTCTGGGTCTTGTTCTATAAGACACTTTCATCACTTCTGAACAATTTTTTTCCATATTCCACATTAGTTTAAATGTGTCAAAGCTGTTTACAGACTTCACTTTTTTTCCTATATAATATATATCATATTAATCGGTTCTTGGCCATTTTTATATCAATATAGCCTTAGATGTCAAATAAATATATATATACATATATGAACTTCGAACCTTATTATCGAGCCTCTGTATTTCTTTCAATCATAAACAAAACTTCATTAGTATCACTTCTAGCTAAATTTCAATGTTAAATTTGCAATCAAAGTTTTTATATACAGTAGAGTTCCGATAATTTGAAAAATCAGGGAGATCAGTCTTTGTTTATTAAAATTATCGAGAATTATCGAGAACGATTTTTTTCAAGGCGATAGATTTTTTTTTTTATTTATTACGATTTTTAGTGGGGTACAAATTATGTGACTTGACTATATTTGTATTTATTATTTTCTCATACAAAAGACATTGAATATGAGTGAATATGTGCATCTCATACTTTGGGTGTATTCGGGCTCTCCTCCGGCTTCTCCACTGCTCTCCAATTGCCATTTGTATATTGACTCAAGTTTCGAAAGAGTCAACTCATGCTGGAGCCCATCAACTCTGTCTGCTCATGCAGACGCGCCAGAGTCTCCCTTGATGATGGAATTCCCCAGGACAACTCATGATCAAATGTCAGATTTTAATGAATATTTGAACAGCAAGATATTGCCAAAGATACGTTCCAATAGTTGAAATCGAAATGAGCCGCAGCCTTGGCTGGTCATTGCGCTCGGACTGCGTCTGAGACGCGGCATTAGAGATGAGCCACGTTCGCATGAAAAATGACCAAAGTCAGTTTTCGATTCGGTCAGGCAGCAGTTCACTTAATGCTCTCGACGGCTGGGCGATATTTGGGAGCTCGGATTGGGCTGGGTCGGGTCGGTTGCTCCGGCTGCTCCGGCTGCTGCTCCGGCTGCTGTCCCTTGGGAGCGAAGCGTTGGCCATTGGCTGGGAGCTTAGCAGCAATTCCGATGTGTGTAATTTTGCGTGAATTTATGTTTTGGTCTTAAACTTTGTTTGCCGCAAGATCCCTCATTTGCCCCACCAATTGCTCACTCGCCCGGCCCGGTCGGGCCGGTGGGCGGGTGCGGTGTAACATGTGCGCCATTCACACGCCCATAACGGCCACAGTGGGAGCCAGGCCGGTGCCCGGTGTGCGGCCAGGGATCGGGAGACCGTAGCTTAAACGTTTCGTAAACGGCCATTAGGCCATGCCAATGCCAGCCATGACCAAAAATAATAATAATAATAATAAGGAAAAAAAAAAAAAAAGAAAAGGAAAGCGAGCCCAAGCCGTCGTATATGGAAATCGTTATGCATAGGGTGAAAAAAATGTGTTTGCTTTTTTTGGGCGTGGCCGCAAGACAATGAGGAAAATGTAAGTACAAACGCGTGCAGAGGCACTCCGGCCATAGCCCATTGGCGTAAGGGCCCGAGCCACGGCCATCACATGTGGCTTACTGTAAATTGTTTACGGCCCGAACGAAGTCTTTAAAAAAGCCCTCAAATGCCAAACGCTGGGAAGGTGGCAAGGGTGCGTTTACTTATTTATTTTGGGATTCATTATAATCAAAATGAAGTCGGACAACTTCTCGGTGAATGTGGAATTTGTCCCTAGAGTCAGTTAACAGGGTACTACTATTTTCATTTAGCTCGTTCGTTGTAGAGATAGGTTAGTTACATCAGGAAACTCGGAGTGCAGGTATAGAGGGGACAATGGAGCTTGATTTCTCTCAATTTATATAGCAAGGGCATTAGATTAGAGAGGAACTGACAGCTCCTACAATCCTAGTGAGCTGGTACAGTGAAGTTTCGATAATTTATAGCTCACTAAATCAAAAATTTCGATAAATCGAATGCACTTTCTATGATCTTAAAGAACTTCGTTCTCATTAATTAACGATAGTTTAAATTTCAACACTTTAAAGCTACTTCACTCTCCAAACAGAGCAGCGTAACATAAAACTAAACAAACATTTTTCCAATAGCTGTCATGTGCCAATCAAATTTTCGCCTCTCTATGAGGTGTCTCTAAACTCAGCATTTCCATGTCGTATTTGCTTATTCTTGTTGTATTAGTAATATTGTTGTAGTATTAGTGCGAGGCTGAGTTAGTGAGCTTGCCCAGAGCTGTTGAAGAAATATTATATGTATATCAGAGAGTTTCTATGTTAGCTAAACGCTTCTCATTTCCAGCTAACAGCGTCTCTTGCTCATTCTGTGTGAGTGAGCGAGACAAAGATAGCTGTTGCTGAACGAGATGGCTGCTGGGATTATTTAAGTAGGGTCGTTATGATTGTGAGTAAATGAAGAAGAGGAAAAAGAAGTCGACTAAAACTTGAAATACTGTAAATGAAATACAATATAATTAATTTGTTGAGTATTTATTATCTGTTTTTATTCTGAAATATTTATAGATAAAAATAAGCTAAATCTTTAGAGTTATATAGTCATATATGTATATCTGTTCATATCATATTCTCTTACGTGTATTGGGCTTTAACTGAATGAAAGTAAAGACATTTCATACAAGCAATTGTAAATTAACTCGATTAAGAATCTCAGGTATTTAAGAGTCTATAATATTTATAGATCAGGATTAGAGATTTTTAATATTACTTAGTCATATATAGATAGTTATATTTTAGATAGATTTATTTTTATTTTTTACTGAACAAATTTTGTCAGATAGATTTATTTATTTCATATTTTTTATTGAACAAATGTTGACTTCAGCTCGAATTAACTTTAATCGAAGCTGACCTAAAGGGTATTTAATGGGCTCTATTCATATACGGCATATTTAATTGAAAGTCTTTCATTCCTATCTCTTCCATTCATATATATATCAACTTTTTTCTCAATATACATATTTTTCATATGTGCAAAATATTTGCATTTTTTTTTTTTAATTTTCTTTATTTAATGCCAAAAGTTTTATTTTATTTTTTTTTTTTTATATTGAAATTTTTACATGCACTTTAATAGATATTACTGTACGTTTCTGATTTATTTTTTTTTTTTCTGTCTTGCAGTTACTGAAAAAGAAATACGTCAATGGTGAGTATGCCGAGCTGCAAATGTGAGATAAAAATAAATAAATGATGAATTCTAACTGTAAACATTCGGCATCAATGCAGGCACAAAGGATTTCTAAAAGACTGTCCGAATGGTTTACTCACAGAGCAAGTATGTAGCTGACAATGAGTACACTCAAGCACACACACACACACACAAACACACATAAACACAGAGACACACATACACTTATGGCGAGCAAGCACATGTTTAAGCTGATTCAATTCATTCAAGTCATGCTGTTAATTAAGTTAATCTTCTCAATATGTGAACACTAATTTCTTGAAACAGCAAACGATCCAGCAACAGCAGCAACAGGAGTAATAACAATAACAACAACAACAACAGTGGCTATAACAACAACAGCATTGAGTGCAGCTTATAGCTATTCGTCCTTGGCAAAGGAGAGCTCACAGCACATCCTGTTGCCAAAATGAATGACAGGCCATTTCCAATGTGTTAATGGCAACAGTTGCTGCTGCTGCTGCTGCTGTTGTTGTTGTTGTTGTTGTTGTTGTTGACTGCTGCTGTTGACTGCTGTTCATATTAAAATTTATTAATGTGCGCCTCATTGGAAAACACAACTTGAATCACTCTCACATTCACACACAAACACACACACATACGACTTATTAAGCCACACCCACAACATCCTAATTGTTTCTCATCCTTCTGCCAGGGTTTTATCAAAATCTACAAACAATTTTTCCCACAAGGCGATCCCAGTAAATTCGCTTCGCTTGTGTTTCGTGTCTTCGATGAGAACAATGTGAGTATTAAGGCCATTCAGCTCATGTCCTTGCCGCGCGTTTCCACAACCAACCCATGCCCATGCCCATGCCCATGCCCATGCCCATGCCCTTACCCAATACCAAACCCAACCACTTACAACCAGCAGCCACCCAAGCAGCGCCCAGGCCTCAGCTCCTACTCCAAGCGACCCATCAACCCCATCATGAAAGTCAGCCCGGCGCTTTGACAATGATGAATTTGTACGCAACTGGAGCGCAAAAGTTGACGATTTAGGCCAATTAGCCAAAAATGGTCTAATAGAGTGCGCCACGCCGGCTAGGGCCTATGGGCGCTCGTATGCCCTGTAAATGAATATGCGAGTGTTTAGTGTGAAAATCAGCTAGCCGAAGATTATCAATTGGAAATATCTGATTATAGGTAAAGGACAATTAGTTTTGGTTTCTGACTAAAATATACACGGAATTTCAGAGCAGACTTAAAAAAATATTATAAAATTAGTTTTAGAGCATATATTAAAAGTGATTTTAGAAAATAACAAGAGAACATTGATAAAAAAATGTTTAAAAGAGACTTTAAAGGAGGCTATAGAAGACATTTTAGAAGACATTTTAAAAGTTTTGGAAAATAATATTCCGAAAGAGATTTTTAAAGACGAGTAGAAAATATTTTGGCAGAGATTTAAGAACGAATTTTAGAAAAGACTTTAGAAAATACTTTAAAAAGTGACTTTAGAAGCGAATTTTAAAGAGAGTTTCTTGAAGAGATCTGAAAACAAATTTTAAAGGGGCTTTGAAACATATTTTGAAAATGATTTTAAATGAATTTTTATAACAGTTTTTAATTGTGATTATATAAAAGATTTTGGAATATGTGAAAAGTATTTTAAAAGAGGTTATAAAAGAGATTTTTAAATTATTTTTTATTTATAACAGATTTTGTAACAGATTTCAAACATTTTTGAAAAGGATTATTGTGAAAGAGATTTCTGAAGACGATTAGAGAATATTTTAGAAGAGCTTTTATAACGGATTTTAAAAGAAGATGGAGAAATAATTGTAAAGAAATTATTAGAACAGGAACAGAATTTAAATAAGATTTTTGAAGAGGTTTTTGAACGGATCTTTAAAAAGAATGCAGCCAAGGTCTTGTAAGGCATTTTATAATTGCTTATAAAAGTGATTTTTGAGGCGAATGTAAAAAAGTTTTTAAAAAAGAACTTTTGTAGCATATTGTAGGATTTTAATCAAAATCTTTGCTTAAATAAGACCTAAAAATGAATTAGAAGTGAATATGGAAAAGTAAGGAGAACTTTAAATATAAAAGTTGCAAGTCTACAACTTTGAGGCTCGTAAAACGAGTTCCCAATAAAGCTGATGCAGAATAATATGAATCTATTGGGAAATGGGATTCAAACTGTTTGAGATGCTGAGTTCAGTTGGCTTAGATTAGATCTGAAATAGACAGAGAAAGAATGAAAGAGAGAGAGAGAGGGAGAGAGAGAGAGAGAGTGGCAGTTGTTATTTACTAACCAAGTAGCACTCAACTCGAATATCTCATGCAACGTTTCGGTTATGGCCAAACCCCACCAGGGACTCGTAAAGGAGCGTTCATTTTATTTATGACTTGTGGTGCAGACGAGGTGGCGGTGGTGGTGGCGGTGGTGATGGCGATGGCGTTGGCTAAGATGGTGGATAGGGCAATGGCATTGCCGTTGGCGACGTCTTCGTCGTTGTCGACGTTGGCGCCCTTAACTTGTTAGCTGTCTGGGGTCTGCACTGATTTGCTCTGGTGTCGCTATTCTCTCTCTCTCTCTCTCTCTCTCTTTCGCTTTCTCTTTCTCTCTGTCTGTGCTTTTGTTTTGCTTCTTCTTTTCTGTTGTTTTGCTTGTGCTCCGCAGGATGGGTCCATCGAGTTCGAGGAGTTCATACGCGCCTTATCCGTCACATCGAAGGGCAACCTGGACGAGAAATTGCAATGTAAGTTCCCATGCTGCCATGCCGAATAATGAGAGACCAATCATTGTCAATGGCCGACGTCACCAATTAACGTCAATTGGCATATTCCATTTGCTCTTCTCTTCTTTCTTTCCCAATCATGCAGGGGCGTTCCGTCTGTACGACGTCGACAACGATGGCTACATAACCCGCGAGGAAATGTACAACATTGTGGACGCAATCTATCAGATGGTGGTAAATACGACACTTATATATACATATACATATATACACATAGATAGATGTCTGACAGACACACATACACACATACATGCATTAAGATCGAAGTCATAATTATGCTCTCTCAATGGTATTACCGTTATTATTATTGTACTTCAATAGGGCCAGCAGCCGCAGTCGGAGGATGAGAACACGCCGCAGAAGCGAGTGGATAAGATATTTGATCAAATGGATAAGAATCATGATGGCAAATTAACATTAGAAGAATTTCGTGAGGGTAGTAAAGCTGATCCACGTATAGTTCAGGCGTTAAGTTTAGGTGGTGGTTAAAATGCAACCGTAATAACTCAACAAATTAACAACAAATCAACATAAAAATCTATAGAAACGCGCAACAAATACAACTGTAACATCAAAAATTCAAAATACTTTCAAAATGCTACAAGTTTTTGAGACAGAAAACAAAAATAAAAAACTCAATGGAAGCGCTTCTGGTTTTTGTTTACAAATCTTACAAAACTCCCACAGAGCATATATATAATATATATATATACATATAGTGTAAAAATATACCACTATATGTGAAATCTTTCAAGCAATCAAAGATCAGAGTCGCTCTTAAAAATAAAAAAAAAAACCTAAAAACTAAATATATATACATATATATATTTTTTTTGCTCGATTTCGCGCGTCGATTAATATTCAAAATGATAATAATTTTTTGATATATATAATGAAACGAATAGAGAAATTCAAAACACACACGCATATATATATGTATTGGCATATATATGTATGTATGTTTAAATATATACAAGATATGGCTAAAGTCTAAATCGTGGCGTAAGTAGAACGCAGTTCATAGCAATAAAAACTATAAAATCAACTACAATAAATATTAAAAAAAAAAATTAACGTAAATCATATTTTGAGCATACACAAATTATTAGTAAAAAACAAAAATCACTGCATAAAAATAAAATATATACATATATATAATAATTATATACTTAATGAAAATAACAATCACGCAAGCAAACGAAAAATTAAATTAAAAAAAAAAAAAAAACGAGCGCAGCCTTCGAGACATTTATAAAAAAAAAAAAAATTTATGAAAAAATATTGAATATAACAGTAAAACGTAAGTTGTTGATATACAGAAGGAAGAAACTAAAAAAAAAAACAAAATGGATTAAACTTAATACCTAATATATACAATATATACATATATACTTATAAATATACATATATATATATATATATATATATATATATGTATATATATATACGCGCACATAGATATATATGTATATATGTTTATATTTAACAACAACAATAAGGAACACTGAGCAAAGGCAATTAATTAATTAATTAACAATACCCAGGCATTAATCAATGACAAGTGCAAAAGCCGCGCAAAACCGAACGTCATATATTTTCAATTAGGCCACACACACACACACACATACAGAGAGACACACACACATGCACACACACACACACACACACGGAGACAAGCGCAACAATTGGGTATATTATGATTATAATTATCATCCTGATTATGATTTCTTTGTAAATTGTATTTCTTATGCGCAATTATAATTAAGTTAACGTAAATTTGACAATAGCCGCCACAAATAAAATAATATAAAATTATATAGTTTTTATTATAAACAAATAACAAAAGAAAAGTTAACATATTAAAAGCAATGAACACCAAAAAAAAAAAAAAAAAAAAAAAAAAAAAAAAAAAAAAAACAAAAAAAAAAAAAAAAAAAAAAAACAAAAACAAAAACAAAAGCAATGATAAGTAAATTAAAATTTAAAAGAAAAACAAAAAAAAACAAAAAACAGCAACAACAACAACTGCAACAGGAAACAAGCCACAACAACAACAGCTACTACAAGAACAACATGTACAACAATAGCCAGCTCGCTCTATCTCTATCTATCTGTATCTCTCTCTCGCTTTGTCTCTCTCCCTCTCTCTGTCTCTCTCTCTCTCTCTCTCTGTCTCTCTGTATATCTTGCTCTATATATCTATCTATCTCTATGTAGTATAAATAGTCCCGTTTGAGAGCCCAAAAACAAATGAACAGAAAAAAAAAAAAATCTATATACAGATCCATCATGCGATTTAATTTCTATTCTATATGCGGTTCAGCTTTATTATTGCATTAATTTAATAACCCAGTTAATAATTTATTATAAACTATTTATATATATATTTATATACATGCAACTATATATACATATATATATATATATATATATGTATATATATATTTTTTTCTTTATATATATATGTATGTATATATATGTACTTGAATACATATTTGCTAATTCTTATGGCTAATCATGCACACCCATAACTTTTTATATACTCGCTCATAGATCATATTAAAGCTCCATTAAAGCTCCATTATGCCATACGCAACACACACACACATATATATATATATATATATATATATATACATATGTATATTTATTTATATTATATATCTATATAGATATATACACATACACAAATATATGTATGCCTATGTATTGTAGATTGGAGTACATACACATATATGCTTAAGTACTTAATGCCGTACACTCTGATCATATTATATACGATAGAACGTTGCTCATATCCATATAGAACCATCAACATATATAGTATATATATAGCTATATATATATATATGCGTATACCAAATCAATCACTTGGATATGGCTCACAATCATTTTTGCACACTTGTAGAGGCTGTAATACTAATATTACTATTAAGGGAATATCGGATAGATCTTCAGTTTCTTTTCCATCCGTGATTTCAATCAGAGCTATATATGTTTATATAGACGATTGGTTCTGATTACAATACCGATTCCAATTGTCTAAGAACTCTAAGATCATTTTTATGCTATAGATGATATGCAGCGATCATCATCCTGATTCAAATTCTATACTGTAGAATGATATCTTTATCAAGTACTAGGGTTACATGCTGAGATCCAGGTGAGATTACCATCGGGATAAATCATTTCTATGCTATACATGCTGAGATCTGGGTGATATATCTCAAATTTGAGATATAGCTTATAAAGTTTCCATATAAGGAGAAATCGTCATCAGGATCAACAATTTCTATGCAATATGATCTGATCCTCATCAAGATATCTAGTTTTTTTACTAACCATACTGAGATCTAAGAGTTACATATATCTGACATATGATATATAGCTTCTACGAGTGTTTTCCAGCTTCGGTATGTCGAAGAGCATCGTTTATATCTCCTTTTTGTTTATTTTGCTACTTTGACTACTTTAATGAGTGGCCTTAAATTCAAATATGTCCAATCAATCACTTTGAAATTCTTAAATGGCACCAGCATCAAATATATATACACATACACATACAACATATACACACACACATGTATATGTATGTTTATATTATACATTCGTAGACGCTTATCGGCATAAATAATCGTATAAACTTTTTCTATGCATATTCTGCAAATTTTACTTGATTTTTATTTTTATGGAATTATTTTCACAGTTTTTCATTTTTCTTTCTTTTCGACTTAGTGCACGCCAATTGAAACCGTAAAAAAAATTGAAAACAAAACAAAAAAAACTGTCGCCTCCACTGAAAAAAAAAAAAAACAAAACAAAACACTAAAATTTATTTTGACAACAAATGGCATAGATATACATATATACACACACACGTACATGCATATATATATGTATATATATGTATATGCATATAGCTATATACCTATCTATATACTGACACGCTAATATATATATATATATATACATTTATATATATATATATTACTTGTAGTAGGCACTACAAACTAATAATAATTAATAATAAAACAAAATGAGAAAAAAACAAACAAACGCTTCTAAGAACCTCACTGAAATTCTTCGAAAAACAAAACGCAGAAATAATTATATATATCTATATACTAAAAATATATACTAACATTTAAATAAATACAATACACAACAGCAACACATGATTATATGAGAACCTTAATCAATAATTAAATAATTCGAAAGTGATATAGCTGACAAAAACAAATGTGTCTGTAGTTTAGTAGTTAAACGTAACAAAAATCTATATATTAAATATATAATGATGAAATGAAAAGCAAATACATTTACAATTTTCTTTGACTTTCCTTTGATTTAAGCTATAAATATAACCAAAAGACACCCAAGAAAATTAGAAGAAACAAAAAAGAAAACAACAATTATAAGAGCTGTAAATATCACTTAAGAACATAAACCCATTCAATTGTGCGCTGCGCCCAGGCTCAGGCACATACGAAGTAAGTTTGTTAACACCAAAATATTGACGGGTCTTAAGTAAAAAGTAAGTAAGTTTTTTTTTGTCTTGTCAAGTCAATTGTAAAACAGAGCATGAGTAAAAAAAAAAAATACTAATAATAATAAATAATAGCTGAATAAAAATATATTAAGAATAGCTCACAAATAACTGTTAGCCGTTTAACTTCTACGCTCTGCTTGCAAAGTCAACCGAAAAAAAACAACAAAAAAACAAATCATACGCATTCGCTCTCACTCTTACTTCGTTTCCTTTCCTTTTCCTTTTCGTTTTCGGTTGAGCGTCCTGAGTTTAACCGTTCGCGTGACGCTCGTTTGACGAACATCGCTGAGGGAGCGACACGATTAACGCGCACACAATGAGACTCAGTGGCTGAGTAAAATAGCTAAGCAAGTCACATACACACGCACACACTCAAAGTCAGGTACGAAACTGATATGCATAGCGCGCGCACACACTGGCATATGCATACACATATACCAAGCCATACACTCAAGCTTTCGCTTCAGTTAACTCAACGAAACGGTTGGAGAGCAGCCAGAGCGAAACGGTTACGAGCCGATCGCGAACGAGCTCGTCAAGGAGCCGATGCAATCGGTTGCTCTCTGAGTTATTTGTTTTCTCCTTGGCAGACATCGAGTAACGGACAACAGTTAGTTGCGAGCTATGAAAAATACTCATGCAAATGCGAAATAGAAGAAATAGGAAATGAAAAAATTATATATTAAATAATTATTTTTTGTTTTTTATTGTGCAATGCGCGGCGTCAACTTTCAGCTGGCGTTGATAACACGAACACACAAATGTCAAGTTAAACGTTTCACAAGCAATATTTTACAAATCAATATATAAATATATATGTATATATACATATATACATATATAAATGTATAAAAAATATACAAGTATATACTTACATAGATGCGAGTTCTTAAAAAAAAGAAAAAAAAAAAAAAACGAAAAAAAAACAACAAATAATTGGCA